AGAGAAAAAACTCTATTTTGAAGCTCCATTTTGAGCTCTTTCCACAGCATGATATAGAAATAAGTGCCTTTGAATATTCATGCAGTACTGCAAATCAAAAAATAGAGTTAGAAAGAAATATCATTTTATATAAATTTCTCTGTTCACAAGCTATTTTCATCCGTGAACTAAAGCTGGGAGTTTAAAATCCATGGATGCGGGTGGAGAAGTAACGTCAGCTGGCTCTTGAAGTTCTGAAGAATCGTATCGTGACAAACTGAAACCGTAGACTTTCAAAGAATCATTTCTTGACCATTGAAACATTGAACTAGAAAAGTCTCTTAAGCTAGTTTAAATAATTACTATACTAAGGAAAAATAATGATTACTTAATCAATGGCTTTTATTTATTTTTTTGAAAATGCTATTATATACAGATATAGTATTACAAAATCTTATTTGACAAATATATATTTATGATTAGTGCTATTTTTGAAAATTCATACGTACGCCGTGGTATGCATCAATATATATTGTAAGGAAAAGAACAGAGAAAAAAACACACGACTTTGACAGTTGTTAATTTGGATACATATCGGATAATTTGTATTTATTGTATTTTTTGTCGTTCATTTACTTTGCAGTAATACGTCTGGACGTTCTAGACGAATTTAATTCCAATCTGTTCTTTTTCTAACGTGTCTAGACAAGATATTTTAATAATTATACTTTCAAGTTTTAGATATCACTTTCAAGTTTCAGACTTTTAGTTTGTGGCTTTGTGTCCTAGAAGTTTTTATTGTAGCTATGGAAAGCTATTTAAATCAGATATAATTGTTTTGATCCCCAAATTTTTCGTACTAATTGAGATATAGTGAATATCACATTTTGTATCTTATATTGTTGAGAAAATTAAAAGAATTTTTCGTGAATGTTTAATTCAATCCTCCAAGCAATGGATATTAAAAATTTGGGGGGTTCTTCTCTCTCTCTCTCTCCCTGACTCCTTTTTACAATTCATTTTTATGCTGTGTATCAATTTGTAACCCAGGATGCCAGTAGAAATATTTCTAATATTGTTTTTACAATTTCAACAATATATTTCGAAAATACACAACGTGTCTGCTCTTATTGAGTTTTTAGTATTATATAAATTAATATGTGCGTCTCTAATTCTTATGTAAACTCTTCTTTAAATCCACAGACAAAAAGCTACTTTATAAGATTAGAAGTAGTCTAGAAACTGCTAAATCAAAAAACTATTTTAAATTCACAGACATTTAAAGAAACGTTTATTTTTGATTTTAGGAATGCCGTTTTAAGCAGAATTATTTTAATGCAAATTAATAATTATTATTTCTGTTTCACTGGTTAGATATTTGCCTGTTAGGGCCTTAATAGTTTGAAAATATTTCGAAGAAATACGGTACCTGAAGAGCACTATTAAATATCTCTAATCATGAAAGGAGCTTTAGGCATCAGTTCTTAGGATAAAGAAAAAGTCTAGTACTTGTAATCTTCTCCCTTTCCTTCTCTCCAGCTAACTAAACTCCTGCATGCGTTTCAATTCTAGGCGAATTTTCAGGATTCTGAAGAAGAATCTTTACGCTTAGTGATGCGTTACTCACTAGACGATTGAACTCTCTTAGTGTGATCTATATAAAGCACGGTCCTTTCACAGTACGCTCCAGGTAGATTTTACAATATCTATTTTTTTTTTCTTTTTCTTCCTTTTCTTTCTCGTTTTTTCATGAATATGATATATAGAGTGCCTTGACTCTTTTAAGTTTCAGAAAATTATTAGCTTATGATTTTCGACAGAAAGAATTTAATGATTATTGATTTGGTAATATATTCTGTATATCAACAATAACTAAATAGGCATAAGCCTAGCAAGCGATTTGGGTGTAAATGCCTATTATGCTTAATCATATTCAGTTGTCCAAGACAGCTCTTTAACGGTCCAAAGATGCACTACGATAACCTGCAATTTATTGTGTTTCTAGTACTGCTGCGTCTATCGGGACCTATCTATCAACGAGTTGAAGCTTAATTTCACTTGGCGAAAGGCTTGAGGGAAAATATGAGCGGTGTTACAGACCTCCTATATCATCAAACAACTCGTATGGGACATGTTGAAAATGCTATTATAACCATATCACAACTTTAGTAACTTAATAAGCAGTTATAGAATCTGAGAGTAAATCAGACAGGATTCCATTTAATGCTTGCATAACCCCATGCTAGACGAAATATCCTGACGCATTGCCACCAAGTGTACATTATACTCAAACATAACCCATAGTCTTGGTTTCTCAATAAATGGTTTAATTCCTATCCCATTTTAATCGCTTCATCATGCTGTATCCTTACCATTCGTGTCAAATTTCTTTGTGCTTGAATACTTTTCTAAACGCATGGTTTCGTTTACTCAGAACGTATGTTCCAGCTATCGTGACTGAAAGGTTTTTCACTGATACAAATGTTAACTGAAAGGGCTAAATGCATGGAGATTTATTTTCTCCAAGCGTGACGAAAATATGTGTTGTATTTCTTCAGATAATCTTCTAGGAAGGCATTGTTATTCTTGGCTAAATTATTATTCTATATATAAAATGTCAAGTACTATGTTATTTACCTCAATATTTTATAGAGTTCAATATCAGGTACGTTTTCAATCAAATTATTATAATACCGTTCTGCTTAAAATAATATTTGGTTTTATTATTGGGGAACTAGAACAAAACGATTATTGCCATATGTAATGTAAATAATTAACAGCACTATATGAAATTTGTAGAAATGAGTACTATTGCTGTCTAATGTAACAAAGAAATCAACTAACTTAGTTATGAATGAAAAAATATTAAATTCTGTAGCCTTTAATGAGCATTTATGGTATACCTACTTTCTTAGGAATTCAGTGCAGTTAAAGAATCTTTTGGTTGTAAATTTTATTAAGCTTGTAGGGTTGCTATTGATAACTGGAGCTAAAGTTTAAAGTCCTGCAGACCTATTAGATAAGACAGCGAGTTGTGGCTACGATTTAATACAAAAGAAATACTCTCGATTTAATACTCACAAATACAAAAGAAGTTTAAAAATAACCTTTTTATTTTAGTCGAACATTTACCGCAAAAGAACAACTTGGGTTACAGACGGACCACCACTTGGGGCAAAACAAATTAAACAGTAACAGACAATTAAGATCAAACGCAGGTAGCTTAGTCCTAGACTACACATTCAACAGAAAAAGAAATAAGGAGGCTGAATTATATTAATGGTGCGTAAACCCTTACAGTCAAAGTTAATTTGCATTCTAGCGAGAAATAGGAAAGGAAGAAGTTATAGAAAAGATCAAAATCATAATAACTAGTTAGTTAACAAAAGATACTGTTGGGCACAAGCGGGTTCGTAATAGGTTGAATGTACACAGAACCGATGAGAGCTTGATAAAATTTATTTTACCAAAAGAAACTCTAAAGAGCGAAGCTAACACGGAGCTATCACAATACTCCGTGTTAGCTTCGCTCTTTAGAGTAAATTTATTCACATTGAACAAAGCAACTCGGAAACTGATGCTCTCTTCGGTTTTATACAGTTTTTACCCGGGCGCTGAGATATTTCTAGTACTTTCTGCTTCTCTAAATTAATGAAGGCATATGACAGCTGAATAGGATTACAGTTACACAGAGCATCATTTACGGTTATTTAATTACAATATTCATTACAGTTACACAGGGACTGGACCCAAATGTCTCCAAAATGGTCGCCAAGTTTGGCGACATTTGGTGATTTCTTGCCAAATTTGGTGACAAAAATTAGTTGCCAGAACCAGCCATTTACTAAATGTTAAATAGATTTGCCCCTGTATTTATATTTTTCTTGCAAATTACTACAATTCCACGTATAATTTCACTAAAATTATTTACATATGTACGTAATTCGTAACAAGGTAAATTTTACATTGCGCTGCCCCGAAAAATGCATGTCAGACACATGAAGAATTTCTTGAAGGTTAATTGAAATTAGAACTTAATCCCTTACAGGGAAAATTTTAAAAAGGTAAATACTTATTCCCTTCAAAGCGAACGTTCCGAGGTGCATAGCCATCAACATATTACCAAAATGTGTCTTTGGTATTTTCATAATTTGTTTTTTTTTTAATTCTGCTGTTGCTTTGATCAAAAACAAGCAATTAACTTTTAATCGTGGTAGAATGAATTTATACCTTTCTTTTGAAAATGAAAAGCGAAAAAGTTAAATAAAAGCACTGATAGTCCGAAAATATATCCCATATAATTCGACTTTTAAAATTTTATCCGAAAACTTCATTTTATGCAACACAATCAGTGCTTTTTCCTGGGGGGGGGAAGATGATTCATGAGTCATTCAGAAGAAGCTAGTCTTGTTCGGTCATTGTTAAACATCTTCGTTATCCGATATGAGAGGTGAGGAACAAATAAATCATAAGTTTTTTTGGATAATCAGCACTTTTGTATAACATATCGTAATAATCATTTATGTTAATACTATTAAAGGCTGTAAAGGATTACTAATCTTTGCAAAATCGTGATTGTATAAGGGTGTTAAATGTCGTTTTGCTGTATTATTGTAACAGAAGTTCTTTGAGCTAAGTAACATACATATATTTAATTTAGATCCAGATAGAAACAAAATAACAACCATTTTAATGCATTAAATGTACGTTTTCTGCTGCTTCAAGTAATAACTTTCCTATCAATTCTGTTAAAGATTAATGCAATTTTCATTTGAATGCTTTTGTACTGTTCCCGGTTGACGATTTACAAAGTATATCAAAATCCATTTTTTTTTTATTCGTAAGGATTTGAAGTTTTTATATTGTATCCAAGTTAAAATTTCTTTTTACATATTTTGCATAGTATAGTGAATTTGTGTTAACAACTTACATTACATTAATATTGCTTATGTATATATATAATGATATATATATACTTCTATGACAACTGTCCTTGATTTATTTATATATTCCTCTTTCAGTGATTAAGACCAAGATTCGCAAGCTCCAGAAAAGCAAACTGGCTTGTAAACGTGCTCGCATCCTCAAGATCCGAGATGGCGTAAGCCGCAAGGAAGTGCGCAGACCAACCCTTCAACATGCGAATATGACATCATGTTGCGGCGAACTGGCGAGGCATGCTGGCAAGAAAGCTCGCCTACTCATCATGGGCACCAGAGATGGTGAAGGACTCACACCCACCTTCATCATGGAATGGCAAAACACAGTAGCTTTCAAAGGAGCCGTTAAGTGAGTCTTCATTTGTCGATGATTATGTCTTCCTATTCGTAATAGCATCCTGCTCGTTTATTTACTGATACTTTGAGATAAAAATATTTACAGCTAATCTTTTCGATTTTTTTTATTTCTATTATGTTACGCTACCAGAGAATTTATTCTAGTCAAGTGACATCAATCTGAACAGAGAAATTTGTCTAGATAATGTTTTGCATATAATCTTACTTCCAGGGCTCACCCATTTTGTGGTGTACAACCATAATGAGCATAAAGACCGTAAAAACTGGGAGTGAAAAAAATATATTTTTTTTTCTTTTAGGAAAATTGAAGCTGATTCCGTTACTGCGCTTGGGCACACCTGTAAAGATGATATTTTGAACAAATCACAGGAGAATTTCTAGTTATAAAACGACGTTATGTCAAGTAATGCCTGCTTACCCAGATTAAGTTTTTTTTTTTTTTTTTTTTTTTTTTTGTTTGGTTTGGTTTATTTGATTATGGCAAAGCACTCGAGGGCTATCTGCTTAAGGGAAGGCATGCTTTTGTGAAGAATTTTTGACTTTTCTGTGAAGGACTAACTGAAATACTGGTATGTAATCATGTTACACATGGGTAAATCCACGAAAACGACTATACAACCATTTTCGCCGGTATTAGAAACTCAGACCTAGCTACCAGTGCTAAGCGACACCGCTAGGCTGCTGGTGGTTTCTTTTTATCTCATACTTGTAAATAACTATATATATATATATATATATATATATATATATTACAAGCAACCTTTATTAAGTATACAAAAGATAAACAGAATTATTAAACTAAATAAATTTAATACGAGTATAATACGACAATATATAAATAATACAGTTATGTAAAGAAAAATATGTTTCGACGGCGAAACAGCCACGGTGAACTGGCGACGGCAAAAAGTCTTAAACGAATTTCATCTTGTAGGTTCCGATCTTGTAGGTTTAGGATCCCGATCTTGTAGGTTCTGATATCAGGATCTTGTAGGTGTTGGAGACTGCTGCCCGATTTGTAACCAAGATACGTTTGTATGCTGCCATATTGTTTGGAAGTGGTCTTAGATGCAAAGAGATGGTAAGAGGAGAATTATATACTTAATGGTCAGGGTTTCTTTCTTGGCTGAAAACACAAACATCAGCATTGGTTACACCCTGTCTTTTGAAATAAGTTTGAAAAGGGCCATTGCTGGGAATAAAACATGTCAGCTATAGGATGGAGATGTGGCGATCAGTAAAGACGTTTGGAATGATTGAATGAGCGCTGTGTTATTGCATTTTCTCTGCCAGAGGATTTATGCCTCAAGATTAAATTCGTTTAAGGGGGGACGAAGACGCTGAGATGTAACATTTCATTGTTGCAACGTAGTTAGGATTCAACGCAGTTCGCAACGCAACTAGGATTACATATGTTGTCTGACAATTATAATAATTATTATGAATGACGGCAATCATATTGAAAACCGTCATTCATGAGATTGATCATTAAACGCTGCCTTACATTCTATACAGAGTCGATAAAGTTTCAGATGTAATTCCTGTGACGTTATGGCAAAACACGTATTTCAGTATAGCTAATAACGTCGACTGACCTCTCTACACTTGAGATTTCAAATAGTGCTATAACCAAGAGTTACCAGGAGCTTCATTCTGCATATATGAAGCATATGTCTTTCTTGGGAGGAGGTAATGGTGTTGTCTTTTGAAATCGTTGCGTAAAGCTTGATTGTGATAGAAGCAGTTTGAAATGTACTGCTGTGGATTTTCTCAAAGAAAATAGGCCTGTAATGAATATTGCACTGAACCAGCACCGCATTGTCACCTTTGGCAGATGTAAAGGTACTTTCACAATCGCGTACGGATTCCCTGTCACTCAGATGCGGCGAATGTATGCATTTCCACTTCTACTAAACGAGAAGGTCACTTTTACAGTCCACAAAAGGTTTGATGGCTAATCCGTACTGTTAACTTTCTATTAAAAAGCGTGATTTGCAAGTTCTTGAAGTTTCTGCGAAATAGATTAGTTTAAATTTCTGCACGTATTAGATTTGATAAAGATACATTCTTGAAGATGATCCTGATCTGAATGATCTTCTTTCATTTCCGTACGAAATATCAGTTTTCCTGAATTGGTTATAGCGCCACTTGTTAGTGGAAATATAATTATTCTCGCAATAAAATTTTTCATTATTAAAACAATTTTATGTCTTTTTGTCCATTTATGTCAAAAACATATCGTGCTATTGTTTTTTACTTTCTATACTTTTCAAGTTATTGAATGTTTTGCTTTTTTGTTGCTTCTGCATTATTCGATATTTTCATGTGAGAAAGTTAAATACTTTTTCACCTTTCGTAAGCCTAAACTCATGGTTATATGCGAATTTCTGTATGCTGTACTCATAAATCAACTGTGATTTTAAAATTAGGATCAAACTCAAGACTGACCCCTTTTTTATATAATGCTTTAACTTCATTTGTAAAGAAATCCCAGAACCTTTTTAAAGAAGCTGAAATGAGCTTCAGTTAAAGATGCTAAAATATAATAAAGGAAGGAAATATTTTAATTATCTAGAGGCATAAGTAGGCAACTTTTTGTAAACAGAATCTAAACTGGAGAATTTTTAAATCCTTTTACATTAAATATGTAGAGATGTACACGCTGAGAATCACGCTCATTATGAATGTTCTTTCCTAGTTAATGGAGGTTTCGGTTCTTAATTACTTAAATTTACGAAATAATTCTCATTAATGAGAGGGAAAGAAAAGTCACTGTTTTAAATTCTTTTAAAATTTACTTTTTTTGCATTCCACTGCATACTTACTTCATTTCTTTGCAGCACTGCAAAAAATAATAATCTATCGAAGTTTTGCATTTTGTAAATTGCAGTAAAATTTAATTAACAAGAGTTATTTTCCTTTATTACTCATGCACGTTTTTGAAATTATTCTGGTGAAAGAAAAGGTAAATAAATAAATAAAAAGCTTTACTACTTTCTGCTCTTTTCCCAATTAAATCTAATTTTATTTTGAGGGTAGATGAATGGAAATCATAGAGAAGATTTTCAGTAATTAAATAATTTTAGCTTTAAAGTCATACACCTAGACAGCAGGAGTAGCTTGTAGCTTTTGTTTAAGATAAAAATGATTCGCAAACTTTTAAAGATTAAAACTCAAATACTAAAAAGGAATTATTGAACATACTTTTATAATGACCAGCCTATAATTAAGAGAGAGTGTGCGATAAAATGAATGAAATGAAAATGATTTGTTTCTTTCATCCGTCACTATCAAAATACTTTGCAGTGTTAAATACGAAATCGTCAATTCCTTTGATGCTAAATTTTCTTCTCCTTACATGCTAGACTTTCAGAAAAAATTATTTTTCAATGATTATTATTATTTCAATGGTATTTATTTCCCATATATTTTATAGGTTTTACCAAAATTTATGGAATAAGAACTTTGTAAAAAACTTTTCATAATTCACGCTATTATACATTATACAATTATTTGCATTTTACATCACGTTTCCTTCCTTTCTTTAACGCAGGTGTATATTAAAAGACGCCTGATTTGATTTTACATAAGTTCTGTTAAAAAAAACTTGCTAAGTAGTTTTTAAAGGTTGCTTTATTAGAAAAATACCTAATTATTTATTTATAAATTATGGAGGACTCATTTAAACTAAATAAATATTAAATATGTTGTATTTAACTTCATTATTACCTTCACCAATTCAAAACATCTTTCATCTTTTTAGTTTGTTTTAAACTGTTTTTAAACAAGCTAAAAATAAAAGCAATGTTCAGCTGTCATTTTTATTTCTGTATGACTATCATTCTTTGCCTCTTTCTACACACCTGTCATTTTTAGTCGTTTAATACAGGAGTGGTGTTACGCACCTGTTACTTCTTGTCATTATTAAAATTAGCATTTTAAGTTTAACGATCATGTTTTTTAATTTACTGACTACATGACTTGCATTTTTTAAACTAAGAATTTTAGTTCAGTAGTCCTATTTTTTCATCCACAAATATCATTTTTAACAATTTATTACACTTACTGATTTAGTTCTTGCAAGGCTTGGTTTTTAATTTTTTATTATAATTATTATTTTTCTTTCATCAATCACTTATATACTTCGTACTCTTTAGTCGCTTAATATAGTTGCTGCTTTTAACTCAGCAGTCTCTTTTTATGCTGTTCCTAACATTCTGATACCTTTCGATGGCAGTAAGTTTATTAACCTTTATATCATTAGTATAATTAATAAAATACATTTTAAATGTTATATTTTCTAATCGTTTCTAAGACAGTTCTCTCAGTACATACTACTGTGCTTTCTTATGGTTGAACATTTGCTCGTTAAGCACCGTCGGGAATGGCTGAAACCATCTGCCTTTTGACGAACTCATCACAGAGAATGTCGCCTAGTGTCAGTAGATAATTGATATTGATAATCCAGATTAAGTGACTGATATAATATCCACGAACATGAGTAAAGGAGAGAGCACAACAGTTAAACATCATCCGAGAATCGAACCCATAACCCATGCGTTAAAAGTAGCAGTTAGGCTCAGCTAACCATTATATCATCCAAGATAGCATTTATACTTTATTCTCTGTGTCAAAAAGGAAATTTTGTAATAATGAGATGGTGCATTATTCTATTACAGTAATTGTCATCAATTTAAATTTTTGACAGAAAGTCTGGTATTAGTTTAGCTTTCATAATTTGACTTTCTTACTAAACATTTTTATGTGGAATGTAACAGTGAACATTAGTGTGAATTGTGGACACCTTACCTGAAACCTTAGGGTGCATTGATGACACCTTATTAAACATTAGTTACATTGTTGCTACCTTAGTCTTAAGTGTGCATTATGAATACCTTAGTAAACAGTGTTACTTGGAATTGTTGCCTAGAAAATATGACCTTCATGAATCACACATTTCCTTACTCAAATTACTGCATAGAAAATCGCGCA